AGAATTTCTCCCCACTGGACGGATTGTAAGAATAATATCAGGCAATAATACTGAGCATGGCAACTGATATGCTCACTGATTTTACTCTTTATAGGTCTAAGTTTGAGTAAAATTAACATTGTTCTTTTATTTTATAAACCACTGGCAAAAAGATGCAGCGTTTTCAGACCTCAAATAATGCAAAGAAAACCAATTGATGTTCATTTAGAAAGAACAATACTAATGTTTTAACTCAGGAAGAGTTTAGAAATCAATATTTGGTGACATAACTAGGACGTTTTTGACTGAGAGGTATACATATATACCTCTATAAAAGCTGTTAGTTTTACACCAGGCAAAACAAGATGTGCAAATTTCAAAAGGTAACATCTGAAAACTGTAGCAGAGATTTTGTATTCAGTCCCATTTACATTTACTCTGACATAAAAAAAAGATAAAACAATAAAAAAATTAAAAGTAAACACACTGTCCACCACCATGGAGACTTGTTGGTCAGTGGAGTTAAGCTGTGGCTCAATCAGACTCAAATGGTTCCAGATCTACTATAAATCTGACAACTTGCTTTTCCACCGTGAGGTTTTCTGATGACAGGTAATCAGCTTGGCTCCTGTGATGTCATGAAATACAAATAAGGCAGGATTAGGATTTCTTCAGTGCACTTAAAAAAGACAACAAAAAAAAACAACATTTATTATGATATATAGAGGAATCGACACCTCATTACCCACATGTTTTAGAGAAAGAAAATATAAGACCCTCAAGTGTCCTTCGTTATTGTAAGAGATATGATTTTGGACATCCTGTGCCTTGTATGAGATACGGCGATGTGAAAAATGTTCATTAAATGTGTCCAGATGAGCGGTTTTTGTTTTAAAGCCACTTTGATGCATTAACGGGTCTGCTAAGTGCTGTAAAAAAAAAAAAAAAAGAAAAGAACTGGGGGCATAAAACTGCTGTCGGACAGACATCTCGGCTGGCTCATGTGGACGAGAAACCATAAAAGTGTTGCGCATTTTTATGGTTTTACATCACAAGGACCAGGGATTTCTCTGTCCGAGTACTGTCTGTACCTCTGAACGTTGGAAACAATACAGGAAGTCTTCCTGCCTTTATGACTTCCTCCTCAGCTCGGGCCACAGGAAGCGCTGTGGATGTAGGACATGGATGCAGCTTTTGTTCCCACAGCCGATGTGGGAATGTTAAGGTCAGCCCTGTTCCCCTCGCTTGAAAAATTGCTTCCTTCCCCTCATTTCAACTCGAATGCCAGCAGTGACCTCTGATAATCTGATTTCGTCCCATCTCTGCAGGGATTGGGATTGGGAAGGACCGTGGAGTCGACGCATGCGCGAATCCGACGGGGCCGTGCGGAGTAGCCATCCGAGCCGCGAATACCACAGCCAACGCAAACGTCCTCTAATGTATTTCCAGCTCCCGTTTTCCTCACCGCCCCCTCTTTCACATAGTGTACTTAGCCAGACAAAAAGCCTTTCTCTTCGTGCCCCGGCCTCCCTCCCCATCCACATCCCAACCACCCGCCCAACACTCACTCTCAGTCTTCACCAGAGACTCTTTGCCACCGTTATGGAAGTGGCTGTGTTACACGACGTGCAAAATTAGCTCTGTCACTCCGAAGCCGGGTGGCTGCTCCGAAGAGGAAGGGAGGTCAAAACCATAAAAACGTACCACATGGCGTGTGTGAGGGGGGCAAAATGAGAAGGGGAGGAAGAGGAGCAGGAGCAGGAGGAGGAGGAGGAGGAGGAGGAGGGAGTCCGGGAGGCCTCTGTGTTTTACTTTTCCTTGAAAGCTCGCTGAAAACCACAGACACATGGGAGGCAGAATTCCCCTCACAGCAGGAGAACCAGAGAGGGAGGGAATCGGGGGGTGCGGTGGGGGTTGTGGGGAGCTGCTGGTTTCGCAACTCTGCAGCGTCTGTGATCAATCTCAGTTCAACTCAGGCTGAGAACATTACAGGTGAGAACGTATGCAGCTCGGAGAAGTTGTGAGAACCTGGCAGGGGAAAAACGTCCAACTACACAAAGAGAGGAACTTAAAGGAGCCAATGCTTCGACATGCCCAGACACAGAAACCTCCCCACAACGTAACTCCTTAAGCCTCTCCAACCTATGGGAAAGAGGTGCTTCCCACTGGTGCATGTGACCAAACGGGAATGACTGCGTTTGAGGGGTGGGTGGCGGGTTAATCCTTGCTTTTGGGGGGCCTCTTCTCTTTGTGGATCAGGACCAGAGCAAAGCTGTTGTTCAAAAATGTAGGAATGAGGCAAAGGTGAGAGGTCAGGCTGTGATAATAGACTTTCTGTGATCAATTTAACACTTGACGGGTTGATTTCATTTTAGTTCAGAATATCGTTGCATATACTGATGGCTGATGCTAAACTTGTATGCAGATATTTTCCATTCAACTGACGAGTTCTGTGTGAAAACATCAGGAACAGCAGATCGCAAGAACCGCCATGTGCAAAATGAAGAGGAAAAAAATGAAAGAGCTGCGCCATCTAGTGGAGCATTTGGATTTGTTTTTTGTGAAAAACTTGAAATAAACTAACCTGCTGCCAAAGACACAAAAGGTTTGAAAGAAATTGAGTCAATCTAAAAAAAAACACAAGTTCATGATGTATCAGGCTAATTTTTATGATTTATTCTAAGTAAAAGAAAAGTCATTTCTGTTGTGATAACACAGGTTTCTGAAAGAATGTCTGGTCAGTTTTTCTCAACTGTAATGTGCACTCATGTGTTTTTATCTCTTCATCAAACGCTCAGCGCTTGTGTTCAACTTGATCTCATTTCCCCTAATAAATAGATCTATTGCTGCCATTAACTGTATTTTTCTGCTTTTCTCCTGGTAGCGTTTCTGTGACTTGACTTTTTTCTTTTGAAAATATTAAATGTGTTCTACTTCTTTTTTTTTTTTTTATCTGTGAATAGGTGAATTTTTCATAAATAATTTGAACATATGTTCCACAGAAAAGTCCACAGATTTGAGAACACAAGTTCAAATTGATCTCTGTGTTGGTGTCAACATTTAGTTTTCTTTAGCTCGGTGATGCTGCATTTAGCTATCATCCGTTGCCGCATTTATTCCTGTAATTATTATTTTTGTTCATTTAATTGTTTGAAGTTGCAGAGCAGCAATGCTGCCATAAAATCTGTGTCAGGTCACTGAATCATGCGGTCGGGTCTGTATGGGAATGAGGACCTGTGCAAGGGGAATATAATCACCTCATAAAAAAAAAAGAAAAATCTCCAGGATGACTTTGCCTCATTACGTGGAATAATTACATGCAAATCCTCGAAGCAAAAGGGGAAAAAAAAGCAAAAAAAAAAAAAAAGCAGAGGTCATACTCAGGCGGCCTCGGTAGTTTCCCCCTCATTACAGGGGTTTTGATTTTCCTCCAGCGGAGGAGGAAATCTGAGGACAATGCTGGAGGGTGGTGTTTAAAACACAACAAAGCACTGTTTTACGAGAAGTGATTTTCAGCACGTGGTGATTTAAAATCATTTCCAGCATTCCAGTAATCTGCTTGTGGGGCCTGATGACGGGCTTCGCCGCTCGCTCTGGATACAGCAAGGATACCACATAACACGAATCAGGAGATTGTACGTTCATTTGCTGCTAGGACTAGTGATTCAAGGCACCCACGCTAACAAGGCAGCAGTGACCATTTTCTGTGACTTATAATACGTTTAAACTTTCCTTAAAAGGACAATAAGGGGAAACAAACTGAGCAAAGGTGTTAACATTAGAAAGCTCTAAACTTTTAATGTTCAGAGCTAAACTAAGTGACAACCAGAAGGGTCAATATCAAAAAACTTTGGCAAGATATTGCTGAAAGAAAATCACATTTCTTTGTTCTATTGCTGAAATTTTTTTTATTATTTTCTGTGGATTTTTTTTTTGCGTACAAATGATTATGATCGGCAAATAAAAAGTTAAGTGCTCTGTCTCGCTGCTTTTTTTTCTCCTTTTTCCCCCCATATTTTTAACAGTTAAAGCCTCAAAAAGAGGAACGATAAACATAGTAAGTAAAAGTAAATTAAAAAGATACATCCAGGACTTAAAACCATTTCTAAAATAACAAAATAAAATTTAAAAGATGTTGCAAAGGAAGCAGGAAGAGTCCTGCCCCAAAGTTGCTTACATTTTCCTGATAAAAACAGTAACACTACCCTATTACCTCCAATCTGTCTTGTACTTAGCGCCAGTGTGCTTTTGTTTATTCAGACCAACTGCAGGCATGAGTACATCTCCACATTTAAGAACAAAACGAAGTAGCAGAAGTTTGAGTCTTTCTGTGGAGCAGTTTATGATGGTTCTGAGCCTGGACCTGAATAACTGCAGCAACTCCAGTTCATAATGCCTCTCTGCACAGTAGACACCATGCATGACTCAGATAACATTACTTTTATGCTTCTTTAAAACTTTAATAAATGTTCCCATGTTAACCTCTCTTACTGGTGGGCTTCTTTTTAATGTCACCGAGAATTTAAGTGAACACTAATGAAAGGCATTTGTGGGGTTTTTTCTGACCACATTTCTTATTTAAAGAGCATGGTTCCCCACTATGCTTCCAGTTTTTAATGAAATGTTGAAAAGTTCTCAACTCAGTTTCAGTGGTTTTTGCAATCACTGCTTGATTCATGCCCACAATTTGATCGTTCTTCAACATCTTTTCCACGACCACAGGATGCATCTTTCAATGCTGCCGTTTAAGAAACGAGAAGCTACTTATTACATCAGCAGAGTTAAATAACTTGTCAAATGGAAGACATTTGTCTATTCAGTAACTATCCACCCAGTTCAGTTCTGGTGGCAACTCAACATTTTGAATTGTACAAAAAGAAGTTTGTCTTTCTGATCTGCACCACCTTTTTCCAACTTAAAGAGTGGATTCCCTTTTTTTGTTAAGGCACAAAGAACAAAAACAACCATGTAGTTTTACAAAAATGTTTATTCATGAGAGTTTCTCCAAGAAGGGAGCAACTCTACTGCTGCTGCAGATGTGATTCACTCACTGATTTGAAGGAGACGTTGCCAGTGGATTTTTGGAGGTAGTCAAGCTCCAGCAGGTCATTTCCTGCAGGCCCGTTCTCCGAGGCGCTTGATAAAACATCGGACAGATCCAAACTTCCACTTCCTTCACTCTCGAAAAACAAATCTGACGTTTCTACTGCACTGTCTGCTCCTTCCTTCCTGTAAACACTCCCTGTCTCCTCGTTGGTGACATTTGCTTTAGGACTTCCGCTCACGTTCTTGACGTCATCCGATTTTGAGCTCCAGCCTTCTCCCTGAACAGTCGTCATGTTTGGGAAACGATCCTGGTGACCCGGTGACCTCACACTGCTGAACGAAGCACTTCCCGGGACGTCCTCGTACGTGACGGCTTTCACCCTGGGCAGCCTGCGTATGACCGAGTTGCCCGTTGCATTGATGGCGATGGGTCTGAGGGGGCTTCTGCTGCCAGTTTGGGTCAGCCTGACCCGTTTGCCCCTCACTGTGCGGCTGGTGAGGGTCCTGAACTCAGGCACCTCCTCTGCGGCAGGTTTGTTTCCGTCAGCTGCTATCGGCTTCAGTTCATCTGCGGACTGATCTAGAGAGCTAAAATTAGATGACGAGACCATCAGAGAAATCCGTGCTGGATATTTCCAGCTGGTTCTGCTGCGAGTGCCCACAGTTTGGTTTTTACTGGGCAGAAATCCATGAAGAATGTTGTATGCAAATGAGACTGAGCCATCTGCTCTTGAAAATTTTGGAGGCATTTTGAAGTCACCAGTGCGACCTGGCTCCTTGTCGTCTCTCTGATTGTACAGTCTGTAAATCCTGATGGGTTTGGGTCTGGAGACCTCAGAGCTCATGAGTTCAAACACTTTGAAACTTGGTTTGGATTTGACGGGTGAGTCGGTGCTCTGAGGTAAAGCTTTGGCTCCCTCAAGTGGTTGGCCGCCATATCCTTCTAGACCGAACTTTCCCTTGTAGGGCCTGAATCCGTTTTCATGTCTGTTCATGCTTGCCCCAGTTTCAGGTTGCTGACTTTTGAGCATTGATGTGAAGGGTTGAACAGTGGGTGTACTGCTGACTTGGGCTACAGGGGAAGGTGGACTCATTTGTACCGTGCCCTGTTTAGCTGGTGTGGTAGTTGTAGCAACAACTCTTTTCTGACCAAAGCTGTACTTTTGTGATAAAGAAGGATAAGGATTTGAAAATTTAAACCCAATGTCTACTCGTTTCTCCAGGGTGGATCGTGTTTTGTCTGCAGAGGACGGACCCCTCTCGGGGTTGATGAGCCCATCGAGGCAATGAAATTTTTTAACAGACTGACCTGCTGTGAACTCCTGTCTTGGCTCTCTTGAAGGCACATCGACTCGGTCCAGTACAACAAATGCCCTTCTGCCATCTTGAGAATGAACTGCAGAGACAAGATTTTGCAGATTCCTGTCCTCTGAAGCAGGATGCAGAAAACCTGGAGTAGGGGCTGCAGCCTTGTGTGGAGTGGGACAGAAAATGGCCTGACGTCTACCAAAAACAATTTGGGCTTCAGATTCCTCCTTGTTTGGGTCTGTTCTGGTAAAATGATTGAGATTAGAAATAAATCTACTTTTCTCTTGCGTCCCAGATAGTCTTTGCTTCTGGGCCCAGTTAGCAGTATTTCTCTGTCCTCTAAAAGCTTTCTGCCCAACATTCTTCATGGTGTAAATCTGAGCTGGGGATTCTTTAAAGAGATATGTCTGGATGTTATTGTGTTCTGGCATTTCTTTACTGCTTACAAAGTTTTGGTTCTGTGGGAGTTTTGAGATGGATGTTGGCTTTTCTTGGATCGAGTTTCGTCTAATAACACTTAAACTGTTCCTGAGAGATCGAGCGCCACCCCAAGCCTGATTTGTAAAGTCAAAGACGCTTTGTAGTGGCATCCTACTGGCATCGCTCTGGACTCTGACCGTGGGAAGCTGATCCGTTTCCAAAAAGCCACTGCCAAGCCCCCTTTGGGTTAGAAGTTGAGTCCTCTGAAGTCTTCCTGTCTGGGATGGAAAAACAAAATTTAGCTTTCTTTCAGACTTGTCTTCATCTGCCTTTGAGAAGGTAGTTATTGGGATTCCTCCTTCGCTGCCAGGTTTCTTCAGATATTTAATCCAGTCAGTGTTAGAGTTGTACTTATTTTCAGCGTTTTCATCTTTCTGAGGAAGACCATCATCAGGAATTCTGGATTCATCAAACTCTGGTCCTTTGTACGGGGAATCAGTGGTGAAAGTGCTGCTTGCTGGCCTCATCATTCCACCTCTCTGTAGTTTGGTTATTTTCACTCGAGGCCGCGTCTTATGGAGGCTGTTCTGACTGTAACTGAAGCTACCTTGAGTAAAGTGGACAGGATAGGATTGATGACTGCTGATGAACAGGGTGTCTGCTGGTGTTTGGACTTGCTCTTTGCCCAGCTGACCAGCTAAGGAGGGAACCTGCTGCTCAGGATTGAATCGTCTCAGGATGCTGTACTTCTCTGTCTTTTGGATTATAGGTACTGCTGGACTTGCTGAAAAAAGGAATACAACAAATGTATGAGTTTATGAAACGTTGGATGATTAAACTGGTGGCAAAGTTCTGGTAAGATGTTTATGAACATTCATCAGAATGACTCATTCCCTTTGGCCTTGTCGTAATTAATGTGACTCATTATTCATCCAGTTAATAATAAAACCATTCAACTTCAATGTCAACAACAATAAAAAAAGGATTACTTTGACTTTTGATGACTTTTCTCTTATTAAAAATGACTTAAAGTACATAAATTCATCCCTGCTAATGTCGACAATCACTTCTGCAGCACAAATTATGAACTAGTGGGGAAAAAGCAGGACAATGATCCAAAACAGCCACTAAAACTGGCTTGAGGATAGATAATGTCAGCTACCTCACATTTCAGGAATATTCCCAACCTCAGCATCGTTGAACTTGTAAATGTGTGGATTTTGTTGAAAAGTGGGGTCTGTTTCAGTAACCCAGCTAATTTAGATTAAGTAAGACAACTTTACCATGATGGGTGGTCAAACATTTTAGATTAGATGGAACTGCACTTTACAAAACTAGATTTGAATTTGACTTCATGATCGAACTGAATTTGGACTCACAATTAATCAGACCTGCATATCTTGCAAAGGGCCCTGAGATTAGGTTTGTTTCAAAAGTTTAAAACCCAGTTTAAAAGGAAAAATATGTACATTTCTAACAAAAACTTAGAAATCAATTTTCCACACGTCAGAACACCTCTGAAGCTACAGTTTGGCATTGGTACATGGGAAGCAGATATGGTCCAGCTCATGCTCACCTCTTGCAGCGTGGGAACACATTGCAATCAGTATGACAGCAGCGCAGATCCCCACAGAGAGTCTGCAGAGAGAAAAACAGACCTTGAGGCTTCCCTTTCTGCTCAACAACTGCTTTGTTGTCATTCAGGATTACCACTAGTTTAAAATCCTGTGAATGTGACTCGAAGAAACATCTCGGCCAGCCATTTACCTTGAGAAGAGAACAAAGCTGCCAGACATGACTGACAGCTTCCGCCAAGGTTTGGGTGCAAAAACAGCAGCAGTGGCGTTTTCATGTGTCTCTGCTGTGGCGTTGAGAAGCTGTGCTGCTGCTGATTGGAGGCAATGCGGTTCACCTGGCGTTCACCTGGTGGAGTCTGAGTCTCCACTTCAAGGAGACTCAGCATATTAAATCTGCTTGCATCACATTTTAGCAAAAAATGTTTTTTATTGTTGGTCATATTTTCTTCTTTATGTTTTTTTTTCAATTAACTAAGTTTTAATGGGTTTTTTTTTATTTTATATTTTTACTTTTTATAACTTGTTGATTCCCACAAAGTTTTCCAAATGTATCATGCACTTGCAAAAAAAAAAAAAAAAAAAAAAACAGGCAACAATTATTTAAAACAATAACCAATTTATTAGTCTTTATAAATACAATACTGTAAAAAAAACATTCATGGCTCATACATTCAAAAATATAAATATTAAATAAATCCACTTGAGGATCATTAAAGCATCTTAAAGCAACCATTTTTGGGGGGCAGTGAAATATTAAAAGTGGACCATTAGAATAAAGCATTAAAAATAATCATCATGTGTCTTGCCAGCAAGATTTTATGATCTCCATCTTGTGCAGGTGTAACAATAAATATCACGCTATGGATCTGTCAGCAGCTCAGAACATGTAGCAGGACATCATGGCCATGTTCCTCATATCATCAGTGGTCATGCAATCTGTAAAACAGACAAAAGACAAAAGACCAGGTCAGAGATGAAGCTTCAGAAGACTAAAGTAGCTTAAATCCAGGTTAGAAAAACTGGGCATTTAAGGCCAAAAAACTTCTGTCCTATGAATGTTTACATCAGGCTGTAACTTCATTGATCTCCACTAACTATTTTAATACCCCAGACTGGTTGAAACAAAGTGTTGTAAGACAAGTTCAATAATAATTTGGTCAAAGTTGGTCAGTAACAGACTATGGAGAGGTGATTTTAAAATGTTAAGTTTACTAACACCAAATTTTATACTTAACTTTTTTTTAATAACTCAAGCTAATGCTAGATTATGACTCTTAAACACCAGAACTTATTAACCCCAAATTTGGACTTAATTTGGAGTTGGTCCAAATTGACCATTTTTAACTTTGAATTAAAACACCTAATAATGACAACTGAAGTGTTAACAAATAGAGGAGCTATTTAAACAACTGTTTAACGGTGTAATAATTCTGATAATAATTATAATAATAACTAACAATAAACAATCGTCTGTTTACCATTTGGTCTCTGTCGAGAGCTCTTGCCGCTTATCTTCCTCCAAACTTTGGTCCAGGACCGCCGGAGCCTTCCACCTCTGAGCCCCGCAGAGGAGTCACTATCCTCGGCTTCAGTCTCTGGGACTTCCCCCTCACACTCCGGAGCTTCTCCGCCCTCCTCCTCCTGATCCTCTTCGTCGTCGTCCGGGTCCTCCTCCCGGTCGAGGACCCCCGCGGTCATCAGCCGCTCCAGGGCGGACTCGTCCACCCTCAGCTCGGTCCGGACGCTGCCCTCCGCGGACAGGGCGGTGCTGCGTCGACACAGCGGGCAGTCTATGGACCGGTCCGCGCTCGGCAGCGGCGCGCGGCTCATCGTCCGGAGGCAGCTCTCACAGAAGGTGTGCTTGCAGTGGAGCTCCCGTGGACAGCGGCGAGCCGCGTTGTAGGTCCGGTAACAAACTCCGCACTCGATCTCTGAGATCATCGTTAGACGTTCCTCCTCTCTGCTGTGGCCGGTATCGGAGCCTCCGCTCCCTTTTTATGGCTCTTCCCCGGAACGGGAGGGACCGGCAGGGACCGGGCTGAGCGAGCGCAACATTACGTGATGCAGCGAAACCTCATGGGACTGCGTGACGTGAAGGACCTCCACGCGCCCAGTAAGACTTGAAACCGACCGCGTTCTATTCGTTTATAGATCATTACTGAACGGGTGACATCATCATCAGGTTATGACATCACTTTGTCTAAATATTGTTCAGAAAGAAAGGCGAGAAGACACCTAAATAAACACTTGTATTTATTTGCGATGAATGAGTTAATGAAGCCTGCTTTTTAACATTTTTATTCAATTCAGATTTCTCATATATATATATATATATATGAACATATATGAACATATATATACATCAAACAGCCTGCAACGTCCTCCAGATGTTTCAAATGAAGACAACAATGATCAATACAATCAATATCAAGTTGATATAATATCCTATCATGGGATGGTAATATCCTTTCTGACCCTTGACCCCGTCGAGGGAGTTTTTCTCCAGTCATACGTCAGACAGAAACCTCCAGCCATTGCGCCTCCTCCCAGTGTTTCCACCGTGAGCATGAACTCCTTTCATGGTGACATCCGGCAGGATCTGGGCCAAAAATCACAAACTGAAAGCACTGTGTGTGTGTGTGTGTGTGTGTGTGTGTGTGTGTGTGTGTGTGTGTGGGTGGGGGTGGGGGGGGGTGGGGGTGTGGGTGTGTGTGTTTGTGTATCTTTTGTTTGGAGCTTTTTTGTGTGTGCCTTCCGGTTCTTTCTTACTTACCGTAAGTCTTTTCGGTCACGTCGGGTGCAAGCTGAGAGGCAGTAAAAAAAAAAAAAGCAAAACGTAAAAAGAAACAAACCCCAAACTTTTTTTTCGGAAAGAGTTATCCAGTAAGTGGGAAGTCCTGCAGTGTTGCAACTTTCTTGTTTAACAATAAGCGTCTTTCTCAGCAGGTTGAATAAAAAGAACATAGTCAATAATGCAAAAAAAGAATAAAACATTAAAGGTTATGACAGTATTAAAACTGCAAAACTTATGATAAAGGCATGACGCCACTTTATACACACAGTTACTATTCCAAGGTGTTATTCCTGCTGAACGGCTGGATGGCATATGAGTTCCTACTTAAACCAGCAATATTTCAGTTTTTGCAACCTAAATGTTAAAAAAAAAAACAATCTGATAAACTTCACCCACCATCAGCAGATTTCATGATGTGGAGACCAGGATGACTTTGATAATCGTTAGTGTTTAAGAAAAAAATAAAACAAGAGGGACAAGACCATGACCCTGCTGAACTCCAGAGAATGAAACAAGAGCAACAGGAAAACATCCATCCACATCTGCAGTGATTGCATAATAAGTAATGATAAAAATGTTAATCTTATCTCTGAAAACATGAGTCAATAATATAATTAAAGCAGTACTTAACGTCCATGGCAAAAAGTGAAAAAAATTTAAAAGTATTCTGGTCTTTTAAATATTAAATATGATGCAAGGCACTATATTAAATATTACATAACTAAAACAAAGTCGTACAAAGGAGGTAATACACTTTCTTAGGATAGGCGAGTACATAGTCAATTCAATGCTCTGTACCTCCACTGCTGTGCTGGACTGCAGGTATAGAGTTACTTTTCTCATATGTTTTATTTTCACCTAATAAGGATCTTTGGGTAATGGCCAAGACATGTTTTTTCGGTGGCTCAGATGGAGTCGTAGGTGCTTTCTGAAAAAAAAAAAAAAAAGAAAAGCCCAGACTGTGTTGTGATAACGTTTTTAAACCAGCCAAACATGTTTCGGTTTTTCCAAGTGTTCACTTATTTTGCTGAGCTTGTAAGGGCTTGCTGTAGGTGTAGTCCAGGGCTTTTTTCAGATGTATTTTCTGAGAAGTGCCCTGTCTTGCCTCTGGGTGCAGCTCCCATGAATCAAGATTAGCAACTGTTTAGAATGGCTTCCGAACTCAAATAATGGTGATCACCATGGGATCGACTGAAATTGTTTTGAAATACGTGGAACACCTTCATCCCTTGGATCTCCAGGGCAAATAAACAACACAGAGTGAGTTCTCACACGTTGTTCTTCATTTTGGGCTGCTTCATGCACCGTCTGAACATCCAGCGAGGATCAAACAATTTCTTTGTGTGTGTGCATGTTTTGATATTTGAGAGCTGAATGACGTGTTGTCTATTTTTACCCCCAGCCATGCAGATCCGTCTCCAACTTAACTTCCTTCCAATGAACAAGGAAGGAAAATTACGGAAAATAACCACTTTTCAATATTCCACTCAAGTTAATATAATTCCTTTGTGAATCAATTGGAAATCAAACAAGCAAGCATTGCTCATTAATAGTTTTTTTTTGTTGTTTGTTGTTTTGTCTTGTTCAAACCTCACTTTAACTAAAGTGGAAATCCACCGATACTCTTCAAAATGAGGCTTTTATGAACAGTGAGTGTCTTTCCATCCATCACTTGTCTGTACCCACAAACCCTTGCAGGGCTTTGGGGATTACTCTGGTGGTCCTGGGGCAAGAGTCAGGGTACAGCCTCGTCCAGGGCGTCAGACGCATTTTCACTTTGGGCCATATCAAAAATCTCAACGTTTTTAAAGGGCTGGTTGTGGCAAGAACGTATTGATAGAGCCAATAACATTCTTAAATTATCAATGAATAGCTTATTGCATTCACTAAGTGTCTGTTAAAATGAAATAAAATTGAACATCTTTTCACACTGATCAGTCCATCCAGGACTTTGTGATTGTCTTCGTGGTTCTTTGCAGTCACAATCACAGATTTTGTGGTGCTAATTTAAAATGATTTGTTAGGAATTTTTATGATATTTGTGCCAATGTGTGATGTTACATGTGACATTCGATTAATCATCACTGCAGCTTGACATCAAGTAAGGATGACGTAGCAGTTGCTTAAACCCAATGCTTTAGGCCAATTTGAATTAAAAATGTCAGTAAAATCAGAGAAAGAGTGGGGATCTGCTGATTCTGTGTGAATTTGGTGGATTTGTGAAAAACTGGAGGGACTTGTTGATGTAATCTGGAGTCTAGAGGGAAACATAAAAAGCTGTGGCGGGCCAGATTCGGCCCCCGGGCCTTGAGTTGAACACCTGTGGCCTACACAGATTGCCAGGGCATCACAGGATTTGTCAAAACTATCAAAGACAGACGGATAACAGAGTCGACATTCAATGACAATATTTTGAAACTGGAGTTGGATTTGGTCTTTGCTCATGTTTTGATTGACAGATGAAGCTTTAAAGATAATCTGTCTGATGAAATCGGATGCATGTAAGAGAATCTAAAACCCCACTTAAAAAAGACAATAGGAGAGTTTCATACTGCATTTAACAAATTGACTCACCTTTAAACAGAACCCTGCTTAAATAAACCAGTGAAAAGCTATTTTAAACAATTAAAAAATACAGTTTTGATTATGTCGGCAGTAGTGGTTTCTCTGAAAACCAAGCAGCATAAAGCTGGGCTCCTCTGAACAGGTTGTCCTATCTTTTGCAGATGTCAATAATTAATCAGTTTACTCTTTGCGTACCTTAGCACTCTTACTCAGCCCCATTGACTTTTGATCGCGAGGCTTTCGTTTCATATCAACGAAAACGTCCCACACATTTGAGTCATCTTTTCACGCGGCTCATGAATAGTCCTGAAAGAGCCGCGATGGACTCCAAGCTGACCTCCCTTTCTTGTAAATACATTTTATAACAGAAACCCAGATGTAAGTTGACTGAATGTTTGCTGAGAGTAAGACAATATCATTTTGTTGAAACTCGAGCTTCCTTTTACATGTAGGAAGATCTCCAGCGTGTTGAGTCCTCTTTCTGTTATTCTAAGGTTTCAGATTTATTTATGACAGAACCTGCTCCACAAAGCAGGTTCGGATCCTGTTTATCGGCCTGATCAAGATTGTTTAGACCCCTAATTTTGTGAGTCAGATGTTTTGAAGTCCAACAGAGATTTCCGTACTTCCTTCTTTAATAATGTGTGCATAATTACTCCTTGCTTCAGGGAACTTTAAATCCTGCCACATTTCCTGGATAATGTCACTTCCTCGGGGTAAGCTGGAAGCCGGAGCACTTTAGATTGTAAACCATCCTATTAGCACTATTAAATAGCATTGTCTCAACATCAACAGGAGCACACAATAAAGTGGAGATATTAGTAATGACTCCCTGCTTCACACTTTCAAACCACAAAGCGCTGACTGTGATGAACCATAATAACATAATGTGTGAGTCGAGCACTTTAAGTCATGATAAAGAGACTCTGATCTGTCATTTTCTGTCCTTTGTGTCTAGGTTGCCTTGCCGTCACCAAGGGTTTAATTACTGGCAAGGCAACCAAAGAGACACCTCATGAGGGACCAGGCTCAGACGGAGAAGAGGAGAGAAACCAGGTGAGGCGGAACAAAAAACACGGGCTCAGGCTCGCAGCTTTGGAATATCAAAGCTTTGGCTTGAAGACGCAGAGGCGATCTGTCTCAGCATGATAACATTTATGGATGTGTGTGAGAGGGAAAGTACCGATCCCAGGAGGAGGAACTAAAGAGAGCTCTGATCAAAAGGCTCTGCTGCAGGTGAGTGTCCATTTTATCTCCTTCAACGAAAGGACGATACCATTTCTTCTTTTTTTTTTTATTTATCCAACAACTTAATGTCATTTTGAGCTCACAGTTGGTGACTTCTTCTTTCAGAAATAAACACGTTGGGTCATGTGATGTACTTTATTTTTGCTCTGATTGCACAGATGTGTCTCTGAAATGTGAGAGGAAAAGCTTCAGGTTGCCATGAGGTGATGCAAAGGAGATCCAATCTCCAGAGCAACAATCCCACCTCCCACAACCACCCTCAGCACCGGATTGGCTTTTAGTTGTTCCCATGTGAAATTGGGAAGCAAATAACAAACAACAGGCACAGATGTGTCAAACTACGCTAAACAAATCTACTAACAATGTAATGCTGTGCTTATTTCTGTCGAAATTCAAAGGATTGACACAACTTTACCTGATTGTTATGCAATAACAAATTCGTTCATTCTGGAGCTTGTTTTTGACTGCTTACTGTTTGTATGATCAAGAGTCCACATTTACTATATATTATGAAGTATGAAGTGATTTTTGACAGTGAATGTGTCCATTCAGTTCTTACTTATGAAGAAAAGTCAGATTTAGGATGTCTGTGAATGAGCCGAATCTACTGAACATGAAAACAGAGTTGCAGTAGTTGTTATTTTCCAGATAAGTCAGACTGGCTCGTTAAAAACTAAACAAATGCATCTCTGTGATGGGAACAGATCCATAAAGTCTGGAGGTCCGTAAATCCTCTAGCATTCGAATCCCTCCTACGACAGGAAACTATTTAAGTTTAGCAGGTTTTTTTTCTTTTTCTTTTTAAATCAAATTACTTGGTAAAAGAGAAAATAAATCCTTGTATTCTGGATTCGTGGCCTTATATAACCGGTGACTGGAAATGTTCCTGTTTGCCTTGGATGTTCACCCCATTGGCTTACTGGTCTATTTGACATATACCAAGCACTGAATCATGCCTCACAGTCTGCTCATGTTTAGACCTGTGGGACCTACTTCTCCCCGTTTAGTGGTTGATAATGAAGAACATATGCAAACCTTTCCATTATTTCATCTGACAGCCGGCTCTCTTGTCATGTTTCCATTCAGTCAGCGCAAGAGCTCAGTCCAGTCTGCAAGCGCAGTTTTACACTGTGAGCTAATTTACATATTAGACATGACGCCGGTTAAAGAGATGAACTAATCTCATCCAAAAATATCATTGTCGCTGTCAGTGGTGGTGTTCTGTGGAAGAAAATATAGTTAAAAGGTGTAAACATCCGCAAAAGCTAGAGAGTAATGATTTGCCACAAATGTTTTATTTATTTTTTTTACTCTAGCAGGTTCTGATGTTGGAGATGTGTTGTAGTGACCTTTATGGTGAATCTGGTGCATTTGGACAGGATTCAGCATTAATCTGAGTTCTGTCATTCTGAATTGTTTTCAGTGATGTATAACTAAGGGTTGAAAATGCACAAATAGAATCCGCATGATTGTCAGACGCTAATATTTCACATTTTTGCTAGTACATTAAGATTTCACCATAAAGTTACATAATGTAACGAGTTTATGCTGATCTCTACATTATTTGTGCACACATGCTCCAAAATTAATGGATGAATCTGGACTGTGTCAACTCATAAAAGACGAACTAGCAGATAATTTTTAACTGAGCCTCAGCAGAATGAGACAAAGACTTGGTTGGTACAATTTCTTTAAAAACCCATAAAATATATTAAAGACAAGAATGTTTAACAGAAGGAAAGTAGTATTTCAGAACAAATAATAATAAAAAATAAAGAATAAGTAGTTTAAAATTTAACATAGAGTGAAAGAAGTATAAAGTCTCTCACCTTGTTTATGACTTTCACTCAGTGTTCATGCCAAGCCTGACATTTTTTTAAATATTGTTTTCTTTTTCCAGTTCTGTTTCTTTATTTATGAGCACATTCACATTCTGCCAAGGTCAGGGCAGCTGACCAAATCCAAAAGAAAAATGCTGAAAGACCTTTTATGAGTCCCAGAGGACTGTTGGTCAAGATCATTTTTGAAGATATCAAGAAAATTTGACCAAAATCAAAGAAGCACAAATGATCAGAATCTTTCTGTTGTGCTCAGAGCCACTTGAAAACTGAACTTCCTCGTTTCCAGTAATTATAAACAACACAACGCAAAAGTCCCCTTTACCAGCTCTTCTCAAACTGTTTGTACTTCCCCCGAGGTTTCTCATGTTCAATGAGTCAGTGGACGACTCCTGTAAATGTCAAAATCAAGTCAGTGAACGTGCTCCGACACAGATGGACTTGCGGGAAAAGGATTTCAGTGACTTAATAATTTTTGCTCACAACTCCACCTTTTCTTTTCCCCCAGTCTGCGGTCATATGCACGCACACACACACACACACACACACACACATTCACACACAGCATGTGGAGGGGCTAAGAAGGGGAATGCTGTGACTCATGACGCGAATCTGTTGATTTAAGTTGTATAAACAAAGAAGTCATTCATGCTGATTATAAGCTATAATTTCCTGGAACACTTCTAATTACTTTTATCATTACAGATTTTCCCAGCTTTTGGAGAAGATTCATCCGAATCTTTCCTCAGAGTTCAGAGTTCATCCGTCCTCCAGGCATGCCGGAGGATGTTGTTCCAGGGTCCCAGCAGGGGGAACCAGTTAGTGCAGCTCCTTGCTCCAGCACCAGCCCCGGGGAGGCTGTGGATTTAGAGTGTCCCATTTGCTACCAAGAGTACAACCAGTACAACAAAAGCCCCCGGATGTTGGAGTGCCTCCATGTCTTCTGCACAGAGTGCCTGCAGAGGATCCAGCTCAACCCCTGTGACCCCGCTGACCGCCGCGGCGGCCCACAAGCCATTCCCTGTCCCCTCTGCCGCCATTTAACCCCTCTGCGCACTGGGAACGCCCTCGCTTTACCCTGCAACTCCCAAATCATGTCCAGGCTCCCCCGTGTGACGGCCTTCCGGATGCCGGCGACGGTTTCCACACGCGTGGCGACGGTCACCCAGAGAGTGGTGCTCTCTCTGGAGGGCCCCAACAGCAGCAGCGGAGGCGGCAGAGACAGCCGCTTCATCATCCTGCCCACCGTCAGCCTGCAGGTGCAGCAGATGCACCCGGACAGGCTGTACGGCGCGGCCACGGACATGGTGGGCGAGGAGGGGGTCAGACAGCAGAGCAGGAGGACGCTGCTGTGCGTGCAGCTGCTGGCCGTCATATTCTGGGTGCTCTTTGTGATCACCTGCGTGGTCGGTGTGGTTTTTGGACCACACTTGTTCAACAGAAAATTCTGATCAGTGGGTGAGGGGGGGGGGGTCACTTTGGTAGCAGATACTCCTGACATAAAGACAATATGTGAGTGATTTCTGTTTCGACTGATGAAGATTTACTTAAATACCTCATTGTGGATGGTTGGTGCTATTGCTCCTTTTTTTCCCCTTACATGGATAAAGCGCTCCCTCTTGTGTCACATGACGGTAATAAATTCTACACGTGTTCTTTGGCATAGTTGTCCGCCTTATTCGATGCACTTTGCAAGAATTATTCCTCAGAGATTTTGATATAAATTGACTTTATATCATCACAGCTGCTGCAGATGCTTCTGATGTTCATCGCAAAAGTGCTTTATTGATGAGAACAAAGTAGCCATCAGAAGATGGGTACACTGTGTCCATACAGAGATGAGGTCCTGTTGTCCTTCCATCATCTGGAACCACTCTGCTCTTTCTCCTCTGACATCAAGGCCTTCTTGTCCATAAAAAAACCCCCTCAGTGGATATTTTTCTTCTTTCAAACTATTCTTTGTTGTGCATCAAAACCCCAGTAGCAAGCACAAAAATGTACATTCACAGTCACTTTAAACCTCTTTGTTCCCCGTTCTGAACTTCAGCAAATCTTCTACACTGGGTCTAGATGCGTTTATGATTAACTGATTTGCAGACTTAGTGAAGAATCAGTTAAAGATGTGTACCTAATGAAGTTGCCAGTAAGTGAAGCTTCCCATTTAGCAACATGTGATTCTTGATAATATTATAACAAAGGATGTATTTGTACCAGAACTGCTCTGCCAAGGATTCCTGCCTACCTACACAAAATGTTGCAAAGTATCCTAAAAGAATATGTTTTTTTTTGATGATGTTCTTTTCTGCTATTATTGTAATTGTCATTATCATCACCATTATTATGATTATTATTACGACTACTACAATATTTATCTGGTCTGGGACACATTTAAAAGTGTCTGAGGTGAACAATATAAATATGAACAGCAGTTTCTGACAAGCAGTTGTTGGATAATCCTCCTGTGCTTTTTCTGTATAGTGTGTGTATATGTTGTGCTTTGAGTGTTGTTTAATTTGTTTAAGAGAAACACATTTGTCAGACATACTAATATTTGGAACCTGATTAAATTCAAAAATTGGAATTAGAATTTCTGAGGAATTTTGAGTGATTATAAAACTAAGGAGAGAATAAAAAAAAAAAGAAGAAATCTGAAATTTGTTGTTTGTGGGGTTTTCTGAGCTCTTGTTTGTTTATTTGTTTATTGTTTTTTTTTCTTGGGTAAAGCTACTGAAAATTAATGTGTCCATACTTATTCCTCAAATTAAATTGGTTAAACAAAACTGATGAAATTAAAAAGCTTAATTTGAAAGCATTTTAACTCATATTAACTATAAGCTGCGCCTTATATTAACGACTTGTTCCTGTGTAAGCTGTTAGTTTGCAGCACAGCTAGCGGTGATAGGATGTTAGTAAATTGAACATAAGGCAGATGACTGATTAAAAATACACTTTTATCTGGTGCTATAAGGAGGATATCTCATTAATATTGGGTATTGTAATTTTGTAAGCGATTTTCTAGATTTTGTTGCTAATTTATCTGAATGAGCACCATCATCATGTCTTTTTCTCTCTGTTTTTTTTTTATTTTTATTTTTTTTACATAAATGTGCTGAATTACAAATATATTTGATAACTCAGAACTATCAGTAGCCATTGACCTGGGTATAACCAAAACCCAAAATATCGACTGGTGAGGTCCAATAAACTGTTGTTATTCTAAGAAACAGCTTAGAGTGTCGTTTTTTTCCTAAAGTCTGTGCCACTTTAGGCACAGACTACTGCTTGAATATATTTTCTACTGGCATATATTTGATAGTTACAGTAAAAATATGTTTGTTTGTTTGTTTGTTTTTTTGTCTTCTGGCAACAGTAAACATTAAAACGTAATCCACCAGAAGGACATTTGGTAGAAGTTATTTATTACCCTGATTCATTTTATGTTCTCCCTTTGTGTCATTATTTAGACACAAAGTTGTTTTCTTAATATTATGTATGAACATATTTTTCTTTTTTGGTAATTGCAGTTGTCAACAGTTGTCTTATTGAAACCAATATTTAGTAAATATATTTTACACCCCTTTATATAGTCTTTGTTCTTAAAATGTCTGTTAAATATATATAATCCTTTGCCAAAAAAGTAAATTTTATTTCTGTACCATAAATGGCTGGGTATTTTCCAAACCCAGGATGCAACATTTTTGCAGAAATCCTGATTCTGACCAGTTTTTTACATTTTGAACAATTAGTAATCAGACATAATTAAAAAAAAAAGTTACTTAATTCCAAACTATTTAGGTAAACTGTTGTTAAACACATAAAAAAAAATGATTTATCGTTTATTAAAATATACATATGTCTTTATCAAGTGAAATGCATTTAAAATACAATTCAGGAAAGAATATCCTCAAACTGTAAAAAAAAAAAAAAAAAAAAAATTAACACTAAATTATATACACAGACTCTAAATGAGATTTAATGGCACGCTTTTCTTTCTTTAGTTGTAAAACATATAAAATATTTAAAGACAAAAAATATAAAAAGTAAATAACCTTACCAAACTCTCTGTGTGTTTAATTTTATCAATATGGCAAAAGTTTTGAAACGGAAACAAACAAAAAAAAAAAAATACTAGCAGCTGTGAATGAATTGGTTGTAAGACCACAAACATCCAGAAAATTCCACTTTAAATCAGACATAGATTCGGCTTTTGATTAATCGTGGTTATTTACAGCCACTGTTTTGAGGGAAAGAGTGACCCATTTTCTGTTCTTGTCACAGTAGAGAAGTTGCATGCCTGATTTGCAATGAAAAAGCAAAACATACCAAAGTCTTTGCCATGATGATTTACAGATGTCTATATTTCTTCTGCTTTTAAAAATGTTCCAAATGTCTTCAAGTGGAGCAAAGCAGAATCTCAGTCAAATTTATGGTTTGTGTGCTCAAACTTAAAGTTGTGATTCTTTTCTGTAAAACCCAAACACTGTTTGTTTTTAATTGTTATTTTTTAAAATCTAATTTAATTGTCTGTTTAGTTCATTTCCAAGCAGGTAAATAAAATAAAATAAAACACATTAAATTGAATTTTGGCTTTTTTTTTTATTAGTAGAAAACGTACAAAATCTCTGGACACTCCTGAACTTATTATTAGCCTTCCACTATCCCTGAGGATTTCTTCACCTTGATAGGGCATCTTTTTTATATTTCTTATTTTGATTATTATTTTTTTTTAAGATAATTTGCTTATTACTAATATAAACTTTACATAACCTAATTCTAAAACGAATCTGTTCAAGGAATCTTTTAAATATGTATATACCTGGCACTTATTGAACTCCCTACCTGGGAGGATGGCTGGGACAGCACGTAAAAAAAAAAAAAAAAAAAACTTAGGGGGGGTTAACGTCTTTACGTCACACGCCGCGTTGGCTCGCAACAAGCGGTGAAAAAGTTTTTCGACACCCCCAACCCCCTCCTCTTTATGTTTTTGTTGGGGGAAAAGTTGCTGGAAGTTTTAGCCGTGTGGATGTAGCGTGTTTGCCGTTTTCTGCCCCTCGGTAACGGAGGGAAGGAGCGTCGGCGCGAGCGCGAGGTCGGTCCACGGGAGGTTTGAGAGCGAGGGCTTTTTTTCAGCGCTTTGTGTCGGTGGGCTCGGGCTGAAAAATCCCAGCGGCCCCCGTCCCCGTCAGCGCTGCATCTCGTTAGCTTACCTAGCCGAGTCCCCGACACGGTTAACGCTGCCTCGACTCCCTCGTCGCCCGACTCTTCGGGAAAACGTCCGCAGAGATGGCGGAGACCAAAATCATCTACCACATCGACGAAGAGGAGACCCCGTACTTGGTGAAGATCCCCATAGCTGCAGAAAATATCACCCTGCTGGACTTTAAGCAGGTCCTCAACAAGCCAAACTACAAATTCTTTTTCAAGTCTATGGACCAGGACTTTGGGTGAGCTGCTCTAATTTCCCTCTCTAATGCTTTCCGTGCATTGCACAAGCAGGAAAACAGTGGAAGGTCGTTTTAATTCACCAGAAGTGTCTGAGGGCAGGAGCAGGAACTTAAACTTGAACCAAATTAGAGATCGGAGGGATATTTCCAACTGTAGCTGCAGGGAGAATAAAGGAAAAAACTATTTTTAAAAGGTACTAAGAGTGCTTCTTCAGGTTGGGACATTTCTCACTAAACATCATCATCATTACAATGGGAAACATTCCCTGTTCCTGCTGCTTTTCTTTACCCTAATCCTCATCCCTCCCTCCCTTCCTTCCTCCCTCAGCCCATCATCTGGTGAAATCCTTGCCTTTTCTTTCCTTCAGGACTGAAGCCAGGGTTTTCTCCCCCCCCCCCCTCCTCCCTACCTCTTCAACACTTTGGCCTGCCAGCCATCCTTTCATTCCCTGGCTTTCTCCTGACCCTCTCTGAGAAATAGCTGTCTCCTCTATCAATTAATCCTCTTTTTTCTCTCTCTCTCCGTCTCTCTCCCCCTGTGTGGCTGCTGTGCATTTTCCTGCAGAGGAATGTGAGTTTGTGGTTTACTCACCCGGTGAGACCCTCAGGGTTTCAGTTAAATGCATTGTAGTTTTGGATGGGTTTTTTCCCCCGTTGTTGGATGGCACTGCAGAGGCAATCCCGAATTCAAGCTTGTGATTGTGCAAGATTGCTTAACTTTAAGTCTAAGTTGACTTGGCGCTCTCCACACAGGAGATTATTCATGCTCCTTTTAATTTTCAAAAAATCATTTACTTGCATGACAACCACAAAATTAATGACATTTTGTAATATATATGCTAAAAATACCAATCTACTTTTTTCACTTTTGATACCGCGACAGATATCTGTAGTTTATTATCGTCCGATACGATCCGATAATCTGATCCGATAATCTGATCATTTTGAACTGACTTTTTTTTTTTTTTACATAAATGTACTGAATTACAAATTTATTTGATAACTCT